ATCACGATCCCTTTTCATTCAAACGGCCTTTGGCCCATTACGCTCATGTTCAAACGGCCTTTGGCCCATCACAGTATTCAAACGGCCTTTGGCCCATCATCATTATATTCAAACAGCCTTTGGCCCATCATCATTATATTCAAACGGCCTTTGGCCCATCTTTACATTCAAACATATCAAATGGCAAATGGCCTTAGGCTTAATTCGGACATATCAAACGTATCAAACAACAAATGGCTTTAGGCCCAATTCGGATATATCAAACGTATCAAACGGCCTCATACAAAATTAGGCATATAGAATACTCATTCATATTTCAAATCAACAATCCATAAAGCTTATACAGAAGTAGCATTTGGAAAGTAACATACTTGAAAATATCTTTACTAAGATATTACTCACAGTGTTTCGCCGATGGATTTTCCCTTGCGCTTGACCCTATACATTTCATATTACAATGGGTCATAAGCAATTCAATCCGTTCTTAACTTATTATTTCTCTTAGGCTTTTTTTTTATCCCTTTAGGTCATATACAAAGCTCAATACATGCCTAAGAGTTCTTAGAAATGAAAGAGGACGGAAAATGAAACACAAAACATCTTTTCAAAATTTCAGAAACAGGGCTCCCCGCTCGAGCGGACCCCTTTGGTCTGCAAAAGTACTGGTTACTTCATTTTTACACTCGAGCATGACTTCGGACGCTCGAACTGAGAGCCAAAGTGTGTGTCTGGGTACTCGAGCGTAACTCTTCCCCGCTCGAGCGGACATCATATCTGCAAAACTTCTAGGAACTAACATTTCACGCTCGAGCGGCGCTTTCCCCGCTCGAGCAGACATGCCAAATTCTGGAATTTTCAGAATTGTTCTTGAAGCTCAAACACAGCATTCAAAGGTTCAAAGTTGGTGTTTTTGGTACAAAATCATGGAAAAACATTACATAGCATGGGAATATAGATTATGTAAAACCAGTTGTTCAAAACCATGATCTAATTCTCAAATTAATCAACATTTCTCTTGATATGGTCAAAGCTCGTGCATTCAAACTTTATACAAGCTTCATATCTTCACAAACCTTTCATGCATGTCAATTATTGACTCCAATCCCACTTTAAATGGCACAAATGATGTTCAAAATCATGGAATCTATTAGAACTATGCATGCATGTATGATTTGGTGTGATATTTTTCATGTTCTCATAATCAACTTCTAATTGTAACATGAATCTTTTGAATTGCGTTCCATACCATGGAAATTCTTACATGCATGTAGTATATGACTCTCAAATCAACATGAGCTACATGTTTCATGCTGAAATATGCAAATTCATGGCAATTTCTTACATGCATGTGTATATTGACTTCAATGTCATCAATTACAACTTAATTCTTACTCTTGGTTACATATTCTCTTTGAATTCATATGATTACAAACTCAACTCATGAATTAAGGGTTGGTTACTCACCTAGGAGCTTTAATTTTTTCAACTATAGCCAATTCTTGAGCTAATCCTCTTAGTTTCTTGAATTCTCTTGCAATTCTTCAATGTTGACCCACCTCTCACTCTAATTTTGGTTCTCTCTCTCTCTCTAGAGTGTAACTTCAGATTTTGAGTTCAAAAATGGTGAGTTTAAGTGTATATGGGGCCTATTTATAGGCTTATGTAATTAGACTTGGTTAAGGCTAATTAATTGTACCCAATTCAATCAGTTTAATCTAATTATTTTGATTCAAATCAATTTCTAATTAAACTTCACCGTAGGCTTTAAAAATTAAGCCAATCACAATGGCGTAGACAATTTTGGTTTTTGTGGTCGATAAGGCCTTCAATTTTCAGTTCAAAGCACAAATTCTAACAGATTTTCCTACGGTGAATAGATACAAAGCCAAAATCACATATAATCATGCTATTAACACCCAAATTCAAATTAAGCACATAATTACAAACATAATCATACTTAATTAATATAATATAGGACAGGGTTATTACACAACTGGCAGACACGTACCTAGAGATTCCTAGTGTTTTGTATCCATTGTCTTATTTTCTTATGTAAAATGATTTTTATTTATTTATTTATGAATTGATATATAATTCTAGCATTGCATTGTTTTGAGACGAAAATGAAAAACGTTTGACAAATGGCATGCGTATGCATTCACCTTACGACTTTGATAAGTTTTAGACATTGTGTTAAAGTATCTCTATTGGGCTCACCCTACGTGGAAAACAATTTTCAGGTGCCAATAACATGCCTCCACCGAGGACATAACTTAGGAGGACTTGGAGCCAAAAGTTTCTTTTATTTTCTTTGATGTAATTATTTTCATACAAGCCATGAGCTTTAACTGTGTTGAGTTGATCTCATTTTTGTTGTACCCAAACATTGACTTAGAAAGATGTAGCCATTAGGGCATAAGCTTATCTGTATCTCATTTTATTCTATTCATGTACACATATCATATGCTAGAGATTCAGGATCTAGAATTTATGAATGTATACACGTATATGTCATTTTTATATGATCGTGGAATATCAATGAAATGTTAAATATAACGCTAGTGGCACATTCTACGGTATATTATGATATGAGTTGTTATTATTATTTCAGGGCGTTACAATGTGTTAAATATTGATAAACTGAAAGAAGAAAAAAATGTAGCAACAAAAAATAGTAACAATGGGAAAAAAAACATATGTTATTTTTAATTTTTGTAGGGTTTAAACAAATAATCTCTAATATTGATTAAATTGAAAAGTAAGCTTTGAAATTGTAAAATGTTACAATTTCAAAGTATGATTCTATTAAGTATATATCCTTATTAATCAAACCGAAAAACATATTATGAAACTGTAAAATTTTACAGTTCTAATGAAAATTATGAAACTGCAAAATTTTATAGTTCTAAAAAATGATTCATTTCAGCACCAAAAAAGATTGAAACTATAAAATTCTACAGTTTCACTGCTTGTAACTAAAACTCAAAAACAATTTGTTTAGAATTTGAAAGTTTTCTCCATTAATGCAGGAAAAAGAAGTGTATAGTACAAAAAAAAGTAAAATATAGAGAGAGACTTGTACTCAAGCAACTATTTCTAGTTTAGATCTAACTGGATTTGACGTAGATCTACTCAGATCTGATGTAGATTTGAATAGATCTATATCAGATTTGAGTAGATCTATTCATCTTTTTTCGCTATTGGTGAGCATGAAGTAAGGGGTCGGTGCTCGATGATTACCGGTGAACCCCAATCAATGGTAGTCACCGGTTGCCAGTGACTATAGATTAGAAAGAGAAAGAAAAGAAGGAAAGCGTGGCCGTGGTTGTCGCTTGATATCAGGAAAAGAGAGATAAAGAGAAGAAGCAAGGTGCGAAGAAAGATGAGAAGATAAATGGGCATAGGACTTTTGGGTCTATTTAAAAGATTTTAATATTAAATAGAACACGCGCTTTTCAAAAAAGGCTTATGAGTAATTTGCAAAGAAAAAAAAAGGGGGGGGGGGCAAATTACTCACAAGTCTTTTTTGAAAAGTGTACATTTTATTTAATCCCAAAACCTTTTAGATAGACCCAAAAGTCCTATGCCCATTATCTTCTGCTCTTTCTCTACACCTTGCTTATTCTCTTTATCTCTCTTTCTCTGATATGGACGACGACCACCACGACAACCACACATTTTTTCTTTTATTTCTCTTTTTAATCTACAGTCATCGACAATTGGCGACTACTATTAATTAAGGTTCACGAGCAACCACCGATCACTAACTTCTTACATCGTGTTCACCGATGGCGAAAAAGATGAGTTTTCAACAAAGAAGATTAGTAGATCTACTCAGATCTGATGTACGTTAGATCTAAACCAAAAAATAGTTGTCGAAGTACAAGCATATCGCTATATCTGTCTCTTTCTTTTAATTTCTCAGTTTTAATACTTTTTCTGCAGTACACACTTCTATTTTCCTATTATAATGGAGGCAATTTTCAAATTCTGAACAAGTTATTTTCGAGTTTTCATTACAGGTGATAAAAACTGTAAAATTTTGCAATTTCAGTTTTTTTTGGTGCTGAAATGAATCATTTTTTAGAAATGTAAAATTTTACAATTTCATAACTTTCTTTAGAACTATAAAACTTTGTAGTTTCATAACATGTTTTTCAGTTTGATTAATAAGAACAAATACTTAATAGAATCATACTTTGAAACTGTAACATTTTATAGTTTCAAAACTTGTTTTTTAGTTTGATCAATATTGGACATTATTTGCTTAAACCCTACAAAAATTGAAAATGACATATATTTTTTTCCCTATTGTTACTGTTTATTGTTTTTAGATTTTTTCTTCTTTCAGTTTATTAATATTTAGTACCTTTTGCTCTTGTTTTGCTTTAATTTCTCAGTTTATTTGTCTTATTTTTTTTTCACAATATTCTAGATATTTTGGTGAGTCTCCAGCAATATTTTTTACGTCCAGCGAACATTCTAGACATTCTGACGACTTTCGGTGACGTTCAAAACATTCCGGCGATACTTTGACAAATTTTTGGTGAATTTAGGCGACTTCCTAATGATATTCAACATTTCGGCGAGTTTCCGATGAACGTCTAGACATTCCGACGACTTTCGGTGACGTTCAAAACATTCCGGCGATACTTTCACAAATTTTTGGTGAATTTAGGCGACTTCCTAATGATATTCAACATTTCGGCGAGTTTCCGATGAACGTCTAACAGAAGTCTAACGGTGGTGGAATATAACAGCGTTTTTAATTTTTTTTTTAAATAATTTTTTTTAGTAATAATTAAAAATATATAAAAGTAATTAGTGCAAATATTTTGTTTCATGATTAAATATATTTTAAAATTTATATATAAGACTTATCAGTAAGTTTCAAAAAAAAAAAAAAAAAAAAAATTTGTACTGACATAACCCTGCAGAAGAGCAGACAAAAGTGAGTTAATGCATAATGGGAACAAATGGGCCAAGGCCCAGGAGCATGGTTCCTATTGAAAAAACAAGCAACGTCGTTTTCCGTAAACCCATACGGGAAAAACATCAATCAATGAAGAAGTTTGTGTCTTCGTCTTCCCTCGTTTCGACTCCATTTTCATCTCACTCAAACACATCCCCAACTCATCGGAAAATCAATCAATCGTCAACAACCTAATGCAATCATTAACAACCAGGTTATGAGATTGTTGTGGGTAGAGAATGACAGTCGGTGGTGGCGATTCTCTCAGATGGGTTCTTATTTCCACAATACTAGCGATTCTACACCGACTCAGCCTCAACTCGGTCTCTGCGATTTGTGAACTCAGCATTGTTGATCACAACAAGCTTTACAACTACAGCCTTGCCTCCCCCTCCCCCAAATTCCCCCACGGTGTCCTCAGCGAAGATGGGTACTCTCTCTCTCTCTCGCACTCTCTCTGTTTGTGTGTATATTTGAGTGTATACCATGTTTCTTGATGTGGGTTTTTGTTCTTTTGTTGTGCTGACACCCTTCTATGATTGTAATGCATTATTATGATTAGTTTGAGGTGTTTAGTGCTTTTTACACAATAGCTCAAATATAATACTATTACCTATTTCAACAACATTGACCATGATAAACCACTATGGTGGAAAATTAGGTGGCCATATTTTGGTAATTTATTTAGTTGAATTGGTTCAGGACTGATGTATTCATTTGACCTTTGCACTCATTAAACTTTTATGCAGTAGAGTAAACCAATCAAAAATTATGTTGAATTTCTGGTATTTCTTAATATTGAAAGTACTTCATGTGACAACAGATGCCAATGGTCTGGAATCCAGCTAAATGATTTGTTATTTTATACTTCAGGTTTTACAAGGTAGCAGTTAATCAGACCGTGCTTTGGTTTCAGGTTGGCTCTATCAGGTCACTCTTTTATTTCTATGCTTTTTCATGTGACTAATTGATGAATTTTCACTTCTATAGTTTCTATGCAAGTGTGTAAACAAAGCAAATATGTTTTTAGCTTGAGGCATTAGTAAATAATGACTTGAAAGCAAAAGTAGTTAGTTTGTGAGCTTTTCATGGGTCTTGCTATGAATTGTCCTAAAATTGTGTTGAATTGAGACTCAAGAATTTGTGAAGCAGAGTCTAAAAAATCATGTTGAGGATCTAACTTGAATTCTTTTTCTTAAGAGCAATGTTGTCAAAATGGTACGATACGTATTGTATTGTATGGAAAAAGATACGTATCGTGGACTCATATCGTTGGTGATTTGAATTGCTAGATACATTTCCGTATTGTACGATTATGTATCATATCGCGATTCAACTCATATCGCATGATTAATTAATTTTTACATTCTTCTTCACTTTTGACCCCATTAACTACTTTTCTCACTTTTAATCACCATAGCTGACACTCATTGAACAATCATGAAATTATCAAAAAATTCCATACAAAGGAGACGCAAATTCAAATAAACTTGCAAGGAAAAATGACTTCCATACTTCTTTTGCTACAAGAAATTAAACTACTGTCATGAGTCTAATTTGATTGAATAATAATATATGTTAATACTTATATGAAAATACTTATTTTTTTATTATCTATATTTATGTATGTTAATGTATCTTACGATACATGATACAATATGATACATGATACACAAAAGTGATACAACGAATATAATGACTCGACAACACTGCTTAAGAGAGACTGATATATGTTACTCTTCTTCAATTGTCGACTTGATACCATGTTGCTTCAAGTTGACTCATTCTGTTCATTTGTATGAGCAGCTTTGCGATGCAATGATCTTCAACCATGATCCACCTACATGTATTGACTGTGAGGTAAGTGCTTTTCAAGATCCATATGTTGTTTTCTTTAGATTGAGAGAGCAAAAAATAACAAATAACATGTGTGCATGCATGACTTAGCTGACCTTTTTTTTTTGGTTGGTAATTTACTCTTTCATTAAGAACACAAATCCCAGATACAACTAGGCCTGAGGCATACCCCAGAAAACCCAACACCAAGGGAACTAGAGCTGGACATATCCCAGGAAAAAAGGAAAAAACACAACAACTTTAAAAAAAAAAAAAATTCCAGAAACTAACCCCTGCTTAGTATCCTAGTTGGAACTTTCCAATCTTGGCAAATCAACCAATTACCGTAATTGTTCTTCACCACTCTACTTGTGCAAAGCTTATCTCTGATATCCAGCTCAATCTTTGTCAAAACAGAAATAGCAGCATCAACTTTATGTCTGAAAATTCTACAATTCCTCAGTTTTGGCTATGTGAGTCTCGGGTGCAATGTGTGTTTAAATGTTCATTTCATCTAATCTCATTTCCCAGGACACAAGAACATGACATGAGATTCATACTTTCTAATATACTTGATTTATTTTTTGAAGTAAAATGGTGTATGTTACATGGACTCTTCTATTTCCCCCAAAGTTACTCGTGTCCACCGGATATGACAAAGGATAAGGGTGTGGAATATGTTTCTGACACACATTCTCCTTTAGGCTCATTATTAGCTGTCATAGGTTTCACACATTTACAGTGTTAAAGACATTTATGAAGCTTAGGTTAATGAAACATATTGGAATGATGGTTTGTGTAGTTATGTGAACCAATGAATTGTTAGAAGAGATAAAACAAGATTGTTTTTCCGGGTAATTACACCCCAGTGGAAGGTAGAAAAAAAAATACAAATTCATGAAAAAATTACAAATTTAATTATTAATATTTATAAAGTTTTCCACTGATTTGTAATTACTTTTTCAAATACTCACTGATGTGATATTTCCCTTGTTTTTACATATATTTGTAGTCAACTTGTAACCCCTGATTTTCTTCATATATGTTAAAATTGTAGATTTAACACAAAATTGAATGTTAAATAGTTTATTTAACAAGCTCAGGAAGTCTTATGGACAATGTGAGAATATATGTTAATTATGGAAATATATCAATTAAGTTGATTGTATAGTTTAGATTGATTATGTGAATATTAGATTGATTGTATAGGGTTTTTATTTCCTATTTCAGATTAGGTTTAGGTTTGCTCTATATATCGGTTGTAAACTTTGTATTAGACACAATTGAATATACAGATTAGTATTCAGAATTCTTACATGGTATCAGAGCCGTCTCTAAGCCCAAACCCTAGAAGCTGTCTATGAGTTGTGACTCTCTTTGCGTGCATTCAGTTTGATCAAAGTCACGAGTGCCTCTTGCATCTTCTCATGCTCCTCATCTGTTTCGTGCTTCGTGTCTCCTCTCTTTGGAATCACGACCACGATTTCTGGTCTTTCTCTCTCCAACATCGCGACTTCTCCCTCTCTCTGGTTCGAAGAAGCTCTGCACAATTCTTGCGATCCAGTTGGTTCGAAATTGTGAACCCTAGCTTCGTGATTGCCTCTAGTTCGCAAAGCTTTAAGGCGTGACATCTCTTCTTTCCTCTCTGACTTGCAATTCCTTGGTCTTCTCTGGTTGGAGAAGTTTCTCTCTCTGAATTTATCTTCTGCTCTTGGTTACTGTGGTTTATTATATATTTTGTTTGAAGCTCGATATTAAAGTTTGCTCACAGAAATTTCTAAATATTCTGTTTTAACCCCATATATTACAATGTCAGGCACTAAAATTCAAGCCATTAAATGCAAACTCACTGGTGGTAATTATGCCTATTGGGCTAGTGTTATGAAGAATTTTCTCCTTTGTCAAAAAAACTGGGGTTATATTTTTGGTTATGTTCCTCGTCCATCGGACCCAAAAAATGAAGGATATTTGACTTCCTGTGATACTTGGAATTATGATAATACCCAAGTTTTGACCTGATTTCATAATTCTATGGATGATCATATTGGAATGATGTTTTTCAAATACAGTACTGTCAAGGAAGTGTGGGACTATTTATTGGGTGTGTATCAGCAGTCCAACTTTGCCAAGCGGTATGAGTTGGAAACAGCTATTCAGAGTGCTCGTCAGTGGGATCAATTTATTCAGGACTTCTACATTGAGATGACAGGTCTCTGGGATCAATTGGCTCTCATGGAACCATCTAGACTCAAGGCACTAGATGCTTATATTGAGTTTCGGGAGCAAGGTCATTTAATACAGTTCTTAACGACTCTCTCCCCTCAATATGAGGCTCTCCGTGGTGGCATTCTTCATTAGTCTCTTCTCCCTAGTGTGGATGCTATTGTTTGTGAGCTCCTCTCTGTGGAAACTTAGGAATGGCAATGGGCCGGGACAGAGCCGGGGATCACACTCCCTGTTCTTGATCCCCGATTGTGAAAATGTCTCCGTCCCTGGCCCCGATCCCCGACGGGGTTCCTATCACCGTCCCCGTCCCCGCCCCTAACGAGAATCGGGTTTCCCTAACCTCGAAAATTCCTCAGCCCAAATCTGTTTCAACAACACCATCAACAACATCATCATCATCATCCCCAATTGTTTCACTTCAACATCAACATGAACATCCACATCAACAAAATCATCAACAGATCCACTACAAAAATAAAAATAAAAAATAGACAGAACATACATACATACATACATGTATACATACATACACAAACAGATCTGTCCACTACCCAAAAAAAAAAAGGACAGAACACACATATACATGTATACATACACAAACATATCTAAGGAGAATGGAGGAGGATGACAGAGATGCTGAGGCGATGAACGGAGGCTATGACTGCGACGATGGAGGTGATGGATGACGGAGGAGAACGATCGACATCGCGGACAGTGGCGACAGTGGTGCTGAGAAGGAGAAGAGGTGCAAGAGTGAGAGAGAGTAGAGGGAAGAGAGAGAGAGAGAGAGAGAGAGAGAGAGAGAGAGAGAGGTGAAGTGAGATGAGGGTTTGGTAATTGGTTTTTTTATATATATATAGGGGTAAAATAGTAATTTCACTTCGGGGACAAACGGGGACGGGGACGGGGATGTGTAGGGGGACGGGCCGGGTATGGGGCTGGGACACTTATCCCTGTCCTCGGCCCGAAACTGATTAGGGATTGATTTTTTAATACCATCCCCGTCCCGTTGGGGATATTTTTCAGAAAAAAATTGCTCAAATTAGGTTCGGAAGGTCGAGTTCCCGTCGGGCTGGGTTCAAATTGACATTCCTAAGGAAACCCGTCTTAAGACAGCTAGTCAGACTTTGTCTCCATCTGTTTTCTTGGCTCCTACTCAGCCTCCTCTATTGTCAATCCCACCATCTCATCAGCTTCAAGCCCATGCGAAGTCCAAGAAGGGGCCACTAGCCTCTGATGAGTGTGTTTTTTGCCATCAAAAGGGCCATTCGAAGTACAACTGTCCCAAGAAGGGACGCCAGTCTGCTCAGTCTTCTCAGTCTTTTCAGCCGCCTCAGACACAGTTTCGACCTCCTGCTGCTTATATTGCATCTGCTCTAGTTTCTGATCTTAACTTGGCTTCCTTGCATGCCCAGATGGCTCAGCTTCAACATTTCTTGTCCACCTCCCAGCCATCCTCATCTGTCTCTGCTTTCACCTCTCTTCATTCAGGTTTGTTTGGGTTCTTTTCAAATATCTCCTCTTTTGTCTGGCTTTTTGACTCTGGTGCCTCTCATCATATGACTCCTCACCTTTCCTTACTTCAAAATTGTATCCCCTCTCCCTTTCCTATTACTGTTAATACTGCTAATGGGTCTGGTATGCCTGTTCTATTTATTGGGTTTGTCTTACCCTTTGCCATGTCTGTTGTTACTATTCCTTCTGTTTTTTATGTTCCTCAGTTATCTATCAGTTAACTTAATACTTCTGGTTTCGATGTTATCTTTTCCTCTTCTGTCTGTTGTGTGTAGGATCGGGTGTCCAAGAAGTAGATTGGGATTGGCTGTAGAGTTGGAGATCTTTATGGGGTAGAAAGCTTGCATCTCTTTCTATCCACCTTTCTAGTTGCTTTTTCCTCATTTCAGCTAGATTCTCAGTCGAGTCAGTTTCACTTATAACATTCTCACCCAGGTCATTTGTCTGTTGACCACTTACGGTCTTTAGCTCAATCAGGATTACTGGGTAACGTTTCCCCTAGTCAAATTGATGAATGTCAGGGGTGTAAACTTGCCAAAATGTCAACTTTACCTTTTAATAAAAGTACTTCAGTTTTGTTTCTTTATTTTCTCTTGTGCATGCTGATGTCTGGGGACCCTCTCTTGTTCTCACTAAAAGGGGTTCCGCATACTATGTGTCTTTTGTTGATGATTGCACCCGTTATACTTGGGTTTATCTTATGACTCATAAATCTGACTTTTACTAAATATATCATACATTTTAGTTTATGATCACTACACAGTTTGAGACTACCATTAAATTGTTACGCCCTGGCTTGGGTGGGGAATATTTTAAAACTGAGTTTTGTGAGTATTTGGTCAATTTGGGTACCTTTCACCAAACTTCCTGTACTGATACACCTGCCCAAAATGGTTAAGCCGAGCATAAACATCGTCATCTTCTTGAGACAGCTAGGTCTCTTATTCTCTTTGCCTCAGTTCCAGCTTCGTTTTGGGGAGAGGCAGTTCTTATTGCTGTTTTTCTTCTTAACCACATGTCTACTACCCTTCTTTCTGGCCGGTCTCCTTATGAGTTGCTGTTCTCTCAACTTCCCAATTACTTCCTCCTTCGTGTGTTTGGGTCTGCTTGTTTTGTCCTTCCGGTAAAGGTCAGACCAAACTTAGTGCCCGGTTTGTCCTATGTGTCTTTTTGGGTGATAGTCTTACTTAGAAAGGCTATCGGTGTTACGACCCTATTTCCCATCATCTTTACGTCTCCCATCATGTTTCTTTTCTTGAATGTCTGCCTTACTTTCAGCTTCC